AAAAAAAAAAGGAGAGCAAACAAATTGGTGTCATTGGATAGAACACGCTATGCGTGGCACTCAGGCCCTTGTAAGGATTCGGTCTTCGGTCTGACCGTCTTAAACCCTGCTCTGGGCTAGGCCCTGGACTGGGTGTTGGGGGTGCTGAGATGACTCAGACACAGTTCCTTATGTCCTTTGAGTAGCTTACAGACTAGTGGGAGAGACAGGTCCATAAGCAACTCTAAACCAAGCAACTCTAGACAGAGAGCTCCGGGGACACAAAGGATGGTGGCTAATTTGGCCTGGGTTGAAAGTGAGGTGGAAAAGGTCGTGGGTTGCACTACCAGCCTACACCCAAACTCACATTTTCCAGTCTTGAGCTTCACAATTCTCCCTTTTTGAAAATTATTCATGACTATAAAGTATTGGAACCGATTTCACTTTTATGTAAACAAACCAGAAGGTAATTTACTCATAATTCCTTGCATTTGCTGAGCACGTCATAACTTACCAAGGCTTTCAGCATACATTGTTGAATTAATGAATGAATACATGCTAATTCATTTGCTCTTCAAACCAGCCCTGTGTGTAGGACATTTAAAAGACAACAAAATAGTCTCAGAAGTTACTTGACTTACCCAAGATCACATCCTATGTATGTAGCAGAAATATGACTTGAACCCAGGTTTCCTGACTAAATCCTTCACTACTCCTTTCTGCCCTTCCTCAGAGACCAGTTATAAACCACGAGATTAAATCACTCAGTCTTTGATTTATGATCCAAAGTAAAATTATCCTCCTGGAGGCAGAAGCTTGATGGAACGTAAGGCGCATGGACTTTGGAATGAGGCTGACCTGGATGCTGATCTCAGTTTTATCACTAATTTGCTGTGGGACCCGGGACAAGTCGCTTCACCTGTCTCAGTCTCAGTTTTCTGTGTCTATAAAAACGTGACTATAGAACATCTGCCTCTTCGGGTTCCGGTGACAATTAGAGCAGATGATGTCCATAAAGCGTCTGGCTCTTAACCAGTATTCAGTAAATGAAGGAGATGATGACAGGCGTGGTCATGGTCAGGGCTGTTAGACACAAATTTTATTCTCCATATAAAGTTCCAAATGACTTTTGGTTGTTTCTAAAACTTGTCAGTTTAAGTATTCAGTGAATCCTTACTAAATATTACATGTTACACCAGACTTTCTGCTGGAATCCCAGAGAGGAATGAAAGCTGGGTCCTGCTCTCAAGCATATTCCTGGGGGTCATATTCCCAGAGGTCAAAGTTTTACCCCATTGAAGACATTCCGTGAACTGCGCTCTAGGCTCTGAAGGCCCTGCTGGCCGTTCTCTGAGAGGAATTCTACCAGGGTCTCAATGGTCTCACTGGAATTGC